ACTTCAGCTTAATCACAAATTTACATCACAGGTCTCAGTCTCTCTCTGGTGCATTCATGTAGTTTGATGTGAAGCTTTAAAATCAGATGAGAGCAAAAGGCTGCCGAATCTGTTAGTAATTAAATAACCGTTTTCCTTCTAGGTTGAATCCTTTTTTTTATGTGCAAATTTATAAAAACAACAGTTTCAACTAAAAAATGAGCTCAAGTTTGAGGATTTTCAAAGTGATTTTGTACTTTCCTTTAAAACAATTCGATTTCAGTGACATTTAATGGGTTTTCTTCTTCTTCTTTAGTGGATTGTAGCCATTTATTGATGCCTCTTCTCTCCCAGTCAAGCCTCTAAAGTCTCTGAATTATTGTGTCATTTTGACAAATCAACAGCGCCTCCTTAGCTCCAGGTAGCACCTCCTCAGCGCCGTTCCCAGTCGGGATCACGGCAAACATTCTTGTTATGATGTTACTGAGAAACAATCTCCCAGAAGGCTTTTTTTAACCCTCTTTAGCAAAGTTCAATCTAACGGTTTTCTGCCCTGGAACCAAAGAGGATTATTCTTATTTTGTTTTCTTGGGTTTTTTTGAAGGATGGGGAACTTTACTACCAGACTCAGACGTTAAACCTTATTAAACAAGTTTGTTCTTGTTTGTCTGTGGAAAGAAACACTCTGGTGTTGCTCATCTGCATACGCACTGCATCAGCTTCCTTCTTTACATCTTTTATCTGCTTTACAGTAACCCCAGCATTATGATCTACGCGCAAAAACAAAGAATCTTTATTTCCATTCTGACGAAATGATCATCGAGCAAACCAAAAATAACTCAACCGGTCGGTTTGAACGGGGCTGATGCAGATGAGTGGGAGAGACTAAACTTTTCTGTCCTCATCTACTGTTTCACAAGTTTTGAGGTTTCAAAAAAGCTTGAATGAAGTTGCCGTCGTGATGCAACAGATTCAAAGTTTTCAATCACTGAGCAGAATGTCACTTGTTTCTGATTCTTAACCTCTTTTCCACTGATTTAGTTTTATTGAGACACCAGAAGCATCGAGGAGAGTGAAACATTCAGCACTTTGCCTTCTGTTTGTTTACAAGGCTTCGGACGTCCTCCTGCGTGCAGGATTGTCGCGTCGGCAAGGGCACCCCCTAGGGGTGGCCAGGGGTGGCCATGGCCACCCCTAGAAAATTTCTGGCCCCCCAGGAAAAGCCAGTGTTAAGAAATCATATTAATGTTCAGTCAAACCATTTGTTGACCTTGTTTATTCAAGTCATAATTATAAAGCTAAATAAAAATTATTACATTTAATGACTAAAGAAATAATCTGAATAAAAAAAACATATGTTTCTGCTGCTTACCGTTTTAAAAAAGTTTTTATCGTCATAGTTTTTTTTTAAACACAGCAACAGGTGAATTAACCTAAAAAATACATTGTTAAATTAAATTTGGTATAACAATATAAAAAACTATAATGTATTTTTCTAAAATGTTTGTGTTTGTAAAATTTAAGTTAAATGTTTTGGATAGAAAATATTATTTTAATAAAAATGAATAAAGGTGCAATGCAGTACATCGCCACACGCAGGCTAAATTCTCCCAGAGTTACCACAAGGACCAATTAGGTGTGCCACCCCAAAAATTTCTTTGACCCCATCTGGCCACCCCTATCAAAATTTTCTGGAGACGCCCCTGTGCGTCGGACCAAAGTTTTAATCTAAAAAACAAAAAACACAAAGACAGAGAGAAGACTCCGAGGGAAGCCCTCTGTAGGAGAAAATGGAGGATGAGCAAGCAGGAGATAGATGTGAAAAGAGTGAATCACCGTTGTTTCTTGCTTGTGGCCGACAGTTGGTCTTCCTCTCTTTCAGTAATGACACGATGTGATACACACACCTTCGCTAAATGAGTGACTAATGAGGGAGTCCTCAGTTTCAGGTGTTTTCCATCAAAATCACAACTAAAAAACAGAAATGCAAAAAAAGAAACAAACATCTGAGTCTCTGAAACAAACTCACAGCCTCTCTAAATACAAGAGCGACTCACTGAAAAGTAGTAAAAAAGTAAAGTAGGTCTCGATCTGCAGAGGAACTAAGAGGCTCGTTTCATTTTGAACTCAGAAGGAACAGAAGCAGGTGTGAACCCTTCATGAAGGCAGTACAGAGGCAAGCAGAGAAACCTCAGAGAGACACATGAGACGTGTGCGAGCTGTTTGTTTTGTCCTTGTTGTGGTTCCTGTCTCCAAACCGCCTCGACGCAGTTTGTAGCGCATCGATCCTCCAACTGATCCCCGAAGTCGTTCAGTTATCATGATAAGACGAGCCCTCAGACAACACGATTACTGATTAGACAGAAGTAGTAATTAAAGTAGTCTCTTTTAAACTATAAATCATCCTAAAACTTGTTTCGTACCCGGATTTATTTGACGACCAAGTTCACAGAGGAACCATTTAAGTTACCCTAACCCATCGTCACTCTGAAAAATGTCTTCTACCCCTATTTCCTGCATTAGCCGCTGATAGAAAACAGATGGGGAAAGGTTCGGATGAGAAAAGCCAGTCAGATCTATGTCAGGAAAAGCTTTTGTTGTCCAGTTTAGAGTAGAGTAAGTCTCAGCTAGCAGAAGCTAACCATTAGCATTAGCCACTCCACAACATGATAGAACTTCTTCAAGCTTGTGTTATTCGAGGAGATGAAACATCAGTGTTGCAAAGCAAACAGAGTTGGGGGTGCAGTTGTGTTGCCGTTAACCAATCAGAGGAGAGATGTCCAAATATCAGGTATAGCATACCCAAAGGCCAAGTATGAACATAAAAAATGACCAGAAATTGACTTTTAATTTCCAGACACAAAAGCATCTGTCTGGACTCCAAACAAGAAAAGTACAGATTTTCTTTTTTGGAGGCCAGACAGACGGGATGTTTGTGTCTGGAAATTAAAAGTTAATTTCTGGTCACTTTTGATGTAAATACTTGACCTTTGGGTACACCACACAGGAATAAGACCCAAACCCTGCTGTCTTCTGCTCCCCTCACATCTGGTTCAATTTCCTCTCCTGAATCAGGAGCGCCAGAGCTTTTCTACCCACAGAGATCGACTAACGAGGCATTAATTTATACTAAAGACACGTGGAAAAAAAACAAGTAAACTTGGTCTTTAACATTTTCCAACAAAATGTAGCACTTTTACGTTTTTTTTTCTGAAAAATCACAGACAAAAGTTAAATCAGACCTCAGCTGTATTTCTGTTTTCTTTTGCAAACGTGAATCTAGCAGATGTTAGCGGAGATGTTTTGCTCGTTCTCCAATAAATAATTATTCACGTCATACAGAATACAATCCAGACTTCACACAATCAGGAGTAGTTTCTTCGTGTCTTAGAAACACAAAAATGAGAAACAGATTTTTCAGTGAGCAGCAAAAATCTACAGTTTATGAACATTTTTTTATGTTTAAAATCATAAATCTGTATTTGGCTCAACATAAAAGTCATCATCGGCGCTCCGTACTGAACGATGTTTGTTACTGCAAACACAAAACCTGTAAAACATTTGTAAGCTGATGGCGTAACCATAAAAGTTAAGTTTAAAACAGCGTTGGATTTAGTTATCGTGATTTCCAGTTGAATTAAATTACAAAATGACAAAATGTCAACTTGGTCGGACCGTGTGGCGATCTTTAACAAGAACAATAAATGACCTATAAAAGCTTCAGACATTTATTTAGATACGACAAAAAGAAGGAAGAAGATTGAAACAAAATGAAGCATTTTGGATTTGTGCGTTTGACATCTGCTTTGATGAAGAAACAAAATAAGCAGTGTTGGGAGTAGCGCGGTACAAAAGTAATTTATTACTGTAATGTATTGCTTTTTGCTGTAATGTGATAATGTAAGGCATTACAGGGAAAGAAAAAGGTAATATTTACTCGTTACAATTGTCAGTAACGCGGTAATTACAATGCATTTTTAAACCCGGAATCAAGATGTGGGTTTCCTAAAAATTCAAATTGCGGGAAGCCTGAAAAAAGATCCAGTATCCACATATATGACGTCATTTATGGACTCAGCTTTGTGGGCATTCTATGAGCAGAGAGGACGCAGCGGTGATGGCTCGAATACTTCGAGTACTTCATGTACTTTTCAGCTGAGTTCATAATCTGTGCCCTGGTGATTTCAAGTCATTGCTGCTGGTTCAGTAGATCCCTTTGGCTGATTAGTTAGAAAGTAGGAAATCTAGGAAACAGTTTTTCTGGAAGACGGAGAAAACATGCAGCATGGAGGAAGGTTAGAGAGAGAAAGGGCAGGAAATTATTCAAATAAAATCAAGAAAATAAGTAGGCAGATTTATCCCCAATACACATTTTTACCAGTGAAAAGCAATAATATAAAAGCATTTAATATTTATACATGTGATAGAATCAGATCACCCCAGAAGTCAGTCCCACATCCAGGGCCGTATCAAGGCATTTGGGGACCAAGGCAAATATAGGCTTGGAGCCCCCACCACCTCACTCCCTGCTCAGATGGCCCTATAAGATGGCAGCGTGCTGAGAGTACAGATTGTTGTTGCTTTTATTTAATAAACAATCATTTTAAATGTCTGACTGTTTTAACAGCAGTCCTAGCTCAGACACCACATCATCTTCCACTGGATGTGTCATGAGCTCACTGAGCGTCAGATTACCAGATTCATATTGAAGTTGTTTTGGTGAAAGTAACTTAACGTAATGCAAAAGTAGTGTAATGCCTTACATTTTAAAATCAGTAATATTGTAATGTAATTAATTACTTTAAAATGAGGGTAACAAGTAATAAATAATGCATTACAGTTTTGAAGTAACTTGCCCAACAGCGAAAATAAGCAGATGAAAAGGTGCGTGTTGTTAGTTGGTATAGTTTCTGATTTTATTGTTCAATGTAAAAAAAAAAAGCCTATTTAAAATCCAATTTGTTGTCGCAATCCGAAAGTCTCGTTTTTGTGTTGAAATAATTTAACAAATAATAATTAAATCTAAATAAGCCAAAGAGACAAAAAAAACTAAAATCTGGAAAGAAGGAATCGAGCATTTAGCAAGAGTTCACTTAAAATTCAAAGATCTGAGATTTAAGTCAGTACCACATTCCTGCTTCGCTAGACAGCAAATAAGTCATGAAAATGATGGATTTCTCAACAAATTTATTGCTTCTTGAACATTTTCTGTTTGGATGTTTTCCATTCAGTAAATGAACCTCTTTTAATTGTCATTATTCTGTTTGTCAGCCGTCAGCTCAAGCATTACGTCCGCCACGCTAACCTCGTAGCTTCCAAATTTGACGCAACTTTTTAGAAGCTATTTCTAACGTTTAAGTTTTAATCACGGCGAGGCCTCGCCTCAAACTAGACTTGCTCGACTCCGTCATTTCTTGTGATAATTTATTCAACAACATATCATTTAAACCTGAAATTTAAGGTAATCACAAATAATCTTTTTGGTTTTAATGGTCGCTACCACAGTTAATGGTTTTACTTTTTGTCATATCTTTTGTTTAGAAACGACCGTTTTGTCACATAAGCTGATAGAAAAAAAGTTTGTAGCGGAGTGATCTCATCCTGTTCCTCTGCAACAACCAATCAAAGGTTATCATTCTGATTCCGGCTTTGATCAACAGCTGTTTTTCTCTTTTCCAGACCAATCGCTGCCGTGGGAGGTGCAACGCTGCTTTAAAAGAGGGCTCGTTTGATAAACATAAAGCATTTTCGCCTGACTCCGAATCACTCAGCACGTACGAGCGTCACACACTCAGAAACTGTTGTAAGTATGCTTAAAAACTAGGTTTTACTTCAATTTACTCTCAAAATACATAAATAGATGTAAAGTTTTGTGTGGATTAACAATGGATGTTTTATTTGGTAAATAGTTGTAAAGCCATTAGACTTCAGCAGGCCTGGCAAGGCCTCAACAGCAGCCTGTTTTACAGATTTTTATAAATCAGCAGCGTGTTTATTCTCTGCTTATTTAACAAAATCTGCAAGATAAACACTTAACAATGAGTGTTGAATTAAATCAACAATATAGAAAAAGGGAAACCTTATTTTGATGATCAAAAGAAAAGTCATCGTATTAAAATGTAGGCACGTTGTGTTCATAAAATGTTGTGTTTCCTTTTTAATTTTGCTCAAATTTAAATTTATAATCAAACACTAGGAAGTTGATCGCTCTAAAACACAAATTATGGGTGAAACTACATTTTTGTAAAAAATACATAAAAATGCATTAATAATTTTTCAGGGAAGTGCATTCTTTTTATATAAAGCAATGAAAAACGATAATTTGAGCAAATTATGAAAACATTCCATCAGCTAGGATTAATGTGACACGAAATTACGACTATTTAATATCTTGATTTTTGTTTTCTCATAAGAATGTGAGTGTCGGACTTTTGTTTTCCTTTTTATGACTTAGTAAAATAAATATTTAAATTATTACAGAGTCAACTAAGATAATGAGATTCGACGGAAAAAAATAACGAAATAAAAAGCAGAACTTGACTAAAACTGTGTTTTTTGTGTTCTTTGCCTCTCTGTTTTTGAACTTCATCCTCCCTTCCTCTTCCTCACAGTTGAATCTGCTGCTGGAGCCTCATCCTGCTGCAGACCTGATCGTCGTGGTTTCTGAGTTCTTCAGGTGCACAGACTCATCATCATCACCCCTCTGGCTGTCATTCCTAACCATCACATATAATCTGTCATATAAATTCTATAAAATAATCCTGTATTTATTTTAACCTATGTGGAACTGGACATAATGAGCGCTGGGATGAACGGTGTTACTATCGATACACGTATTTTTATCCTTATTAATCAGGCTAGCAGCTAAAATAAGTTGGACAGTTTATCTTTTTACTTTTTTTCTCAGAGACATGAAACAGGCTTTCACAACAGTCAAAGCAAACGGATTAAAATATTTTGGTAGAATAAAAAATTTATTTTTGTACGTTTATTGTTCAATAGAGACGTTAAATACAGCTAAGCGGAGGAACACTGACGTTAGTGCGTGCGGATAATATATTAGTACATATGGTTGTTGTAGGTTTACTAAAAAAAATGAAGTATTTTAGCATCAGTGAAACTTAAAAGTTATCACTTTATTTTTATTATCGTGAAAATAATTTATTTTTATTTTATTTCATTGTGACTGATGAAGTTAGATAAGAGAAAAGCGACATTTTCCTCTGTGAATCTATCATGGTCTAAAAATCCTACACAAATAAATCTGATTATTATCAACTTGAACCCTTTTACAGTAACATTTAATTTAAGTTGTTTATGTTCACAACATTGCAAATCAAAGTTCAGCAACTTTATCTTTCACTATCAGTTTGTATTTTTTTTAAATACCTCAAACTATATGGTTGTGATAACACTTTACAATATGGTTCACTTTATGAACGTTACTTAGTGCTTTGTTAAGCATTAATAAACTATTAAATAAAATATTAACAACTGCTTAACCTCATTACATAATGCATTACCAAGCAGACACCTCCCTGGTCCTTTGTCCTAACCTTAAGGTCACTAGATGGTGAACTGTAATGGTAATGCTAATAAAGGTACCACGAAACATTAATAAAGGGACCCTTATTATAAAGTGTTACGTATGGTTTACAATGAAATTTGAGTGATTTTCGTAAACGTTATTTAACAGTGAACAGTAAAGCTAACGTTAATAAGTGTACCCTTTGTTTATTAATGCCTAATAATGTACTATGTAACATTAATAAAGGGACCTTTATTGTAAAGTTTTACATATGGTTTAAAATTATATTTGGCTGATTTTCATGAAAATAATTTATTAGTGAACAATAACTGTAATGTTAATAAATGCACCCTTTGTTTATTAATGCTTAATAATGCCCTATAAGTAACGCTAATACAGGGACACTTGTTGTACAGTGTTACGTATGGTTTAAAATTACATTTGATTGATTTAGATTAAAGTTACTTAAAAGTGGACAGTAACAATAACGTTAATAAATGTACCCTTTAATTATTAATGCTTAGTAATGCACTAAGTAACGTTAATACAGGGACCCTTGTTGTACAGTGTTACGTATGGTTTAAAATCACATTTGATTGATTTTCATAAAAGTTATTTGAATAAAGTCAATCTAAAGCTTCACGTTCAAAAGTAAAATTGTTATTAGGGCAAATATTTGCATTGCAAGCACAACCCTTAAAATAATAACAGTGCATTCAAATCACAACTGTTGATGCTTTGAGCATGCCTTCACTATTTAGACTGAAAGTACTTGAAGCTTTTTAATGCAAAACCCACATTTTGTGACAAAAGGGGTAAAACAGAGATTTAAAACAGGATGAAAAAGAGAAACATCTTTAAACCACAGCCTAAGTGTGCTGCTGCCGCTGTGGTCTCTCTTTTCTCCCCCTTTAAGCGTGGAGAGATCCGTCTTTCGTGGAACAGGAGAGGAAGAGAGGGGGTGTGAGCGGCTGGGGAGGAGGAGAACCAGGATAAGAATCTGCAGCTTAACTAAATCAAGTCCCACCACAACCCAGCGTTTGCTGCGCTGTCTCTTCCCTTCAGTCTGTCTGCTCATGTTAATCTAAAGCCCACCACAGCACGCCTACTCTCACCACTCTCTGGCTTTTATCTCCTCAAATCTCTCTAAATCTGAGACCACCTCAAACCCAGCGCTGCATCCTGCCAAAGGATTTCACGTACAAAAATGTGAAAAGTAAATTTGTTAAAGAAGATTAAAGCTAGTTTGACAGCAGATGGAACGTGAAAAATTAAATAATCAAGGAGTGCCACAGGGCCTAACACTCGGCCCACTTTGTTTTTCCTTTCCTTAACTGTACTTTTTTAAACTTTATGGTCAAAATCCACTTTTAAAATCTCTTTGTGGCATTTTCTCACCTTTACTTGAGTATTTTTTTATTTGTGTTTTTATAGCAGTGGAACTAAAATGAAGACCTTAATCCAGTTTGTCTTCTGTCTCATTACTGTGCTGAAGATGACTGGTAAGACTCAAAGTCAAGATGGTTTTTTTTAAACATTGTTTGGTCCCGAACATTCGCACCTAACATTTTTTTCTTCTAGGGGCTGTAGAGATAATTTATGCCCAGGTGGGTCAGACTGTTGCACTGAATGCAAAGCAAGCCTCTGTAAACAGTTACTTTTACTGGACCTTTGGTTTGCAAGACGGCCCGCAGGTAGCCTGGATGAACCCCCATGGTGGAAAGCAGTTTGCTTCAGGTGAGAGAAGCCTAGACTCAAATACATCATTTATTTTTGTTGTTTAAACATGTGTTAAGATTTGTGATTTCATGATTTTCTTGTCTTGTAGAGGAAATCTGGAAAAATAAGTTGTCCATGCCTCTGAATTCACTGACCATAACAAACATACAAGAAGAAAACTTTGGAGATTTCTTCTGTAAAGTGACAAAGATTACTAAAGTCATCTCCGTCACTCACTTCAGGGTGGTCAAAGTCAGTGGTAAGAAAAAAAAACTATGTTGACTGTGACACATTTGACTACAGTTTACAGCATGTTTTTTATTTATTTTAATTTTTACAGTTGTTTAGAGTTATTGTTTTCCAACTATTTAATTCTTCACCCTCCATTCATAATTTACCAACTACAAAACCCCCTTTGCAGCTTTCTTCACCTAAAGGCACCATCTTTGTCTTAATTTTATTCTAGTCGACGTGACTGTACCATCACCTGTGATGCCCGGTGAACGTGTGACTCTGACCTGTAAGACTTCTCAAGAGCCACCCAAAATATTCTGGATTGGTCCACTAGGAGAAAAAATGACAACCAATCAGGGAACATATACTATGACAGCTGAAAGTCAACACAGCGGAGAGTGGACATGCGTTGTAGATCAAACAAACAAGTTCACCATTCTAGTTGCCGTTGCAGGTGAGTGGGCGTGTGCCACAATGTTGTATTTTTATGTAAGCGACATTCCCCTTGTTTATTTATTTTTCTGTCTTTCAGACATTTCCGCTCCTACATATCAGTACACTTCCATAAACTCTCCCTTCAAAGTGCCGGTTTCTATCAAGCCTACCAACTTTGTGCAACAAATAATACAAAAGATCAAGAAAATTGAGTGGCACTTTGTTCCAAAAGCGTCCTCCAGTCAGAGCCAAGAGACACTCTTCCGTATATCTGGGAATGACCAGATGAGAGAAGAACTGGACCAAAGAAACATGGAGTTTAAAAACTTTACCAAAGAGGGAGAGGTTTCTCTGTACAAAGAAAAGGCAGAAGTAGAGGACAGAGGGAACTACAACTGCTCTGTAACATTACGAAATGGCTTTATGATGAGCAGCACTGTGCAAGTGGAGGTGCTGCAGAGTGAGTCTGAAGTTCTTAGTCCTTTAATGAAGCGTGTTACTGTTTTTATGCTGTTGTAGATGTCTTGTCCTTGTTTGAGATAAGTTTCTGTTAGTCACACCTTTGCTTCTCCTTTGCTTTATATTTTCATCTGAGGTCCACGTGTTGTAATGAGATGAGTTTCAACAGTCAGTCTTAACTGCATTAAAATATATTTTTGTCTGAAATCTAATCTATCTAATTAAAGAGCAAGTCACCCCCTACCAGAGTATTACTCCGCTCCCACTTCCTGTTTGAAAAATGCAACAAATACTGTTGGCTAGCAGACCGAGAGGGCAGAGCCGCAAACAAATACACACACACACACACACACACACACACACACACACAGGCTCAAAACGACATTGTGACATCATATGGTACCAGCTAACGTTCTAGGGTACCTCTTAGCCAATAGCGATGGCAGATTTAAATTCAAATGCAGTGCAGAGTTTTTACCTGACAACGGCACAACACTGACAGTTTTAGGCAGAAAATTAAAATTTTAACTAAAATGCACTGAAGTGCAAAACTATTGACTACACGTGTCTGCAGCATGATTAGACACGCATTTATATAGTTTATCAGAAAAAAAAGTTGATTTGGGGGTGACTTGCTCTTTAAATAAAACAATTGGATCTAATTAATCTTGTTTTCTCTCCTCCTCCAGTCCTCCCCTCTCCAGGTGTAGAGTTGATTTCTGGCCATCAGCTGAACCTGTCCTGCTCCATCGGTGCCCAGCTGCTGCCCGGTTTACACGTCAAATGGTTCCATCCTAAGAAATCCACCCTGCTCAACGCGGATCCTCCATCTGACCATCTCATCATCCCAAAAGTGAGCACAGATGACTCCGGGACGTGGAGGTGTGCGCTGCTGCAGAACGACACGCAGCTGACGTCAGCTGAGATAACGCTGAAGATCGGTGAGCACAGGAAGTGAGAAGAGAGCAGGAAACATGACATGGGCATGAACCTGTGGCCACAAAATTCCATGACTGAGGCGTGGTGGTGTGTGTCCTGTTGTCTGAGCTGCACCCTGATGGATGCATTCCTGTTTTCTGCTGCACACAGATCCCCTCCTGAGTGCATGGATGGTGGTGACCATATGCAGCGCTGCTGTCATCCTCATCCTCCTCCTCGTAGTTGGATTTGTCCTCTGTCAACGAAGACGAGTATATTGATCTTGGTTCTAATTAGTCACACATAAAACACGAGAATTTCAGAACCAGTAAACTCACACTCTGCTTTTCTCTTCAGCAGAGATCGAGGCACATCAGACATCGACTCTGTCAGTGCAAACAGTAAGCAACCACTTCCTGGAACTGACAAAACACATAATTACATCCACGCACACATAAGAAGTGTTCAGCTCATCATTTACATCTCTGTTTGTGTTTTTCAGCCCAAAGCCCAAAGGATTCTACAAGACCTGAAACCTTCCTGGGGGAAGTGTAGGACATGAAAACCTGATAATGAAGCGTGGCTCTGGAGTTGGATGGATGAAGTCATTATCAAATGACATGTAAAATAACTTTTACAGTTGTATATATTTGTTACTTAGAGTTTTACATGAGTTTTAGAATATTTCTTCACTTTAAATTAGTTTATCTTCTCCTCATTTGTTATTTTCCTTTTAAACTCCATTTTATATTAAAGAGATCCTTCAATTTTATTTTGATGCAAATGCAGTGGTCACTAGTAGGAATGAAAGCCTTGTAAGTCGTACTGTGGGGGGGGGGGGGGGGGAAGCTCTGGTGTGCCTGTTTGAGGACAGTTTCAGACGTCAGGATTTGGAATCTTATTTCCTGATAGATGGACATCTCGCCTCTGATTGGCTAACAGTCCCACGGCTCCACCAGTGACTCTGCTCTGCAAAGTTGATGTTTTATCTCCACAAATACAACAAGCCTGGAGGAGTTCTGCTGTGTGGTGGAGTCGCTAACGCTAACAGTTGGCTTCTACTAGCCGAGACGTTCTGTGCGTTTTCCAGGATGCTGAACATACAACAGCTTTGCCCGTCATGAGTCCGTGAATGTTCAGTGACAGTGTGACGTAGATCTGTCGGGCTTTATTTTCTATCAGAAGCTAATGAAGGAGATAGGTGTAGGAGACTATTTTCATGTTCAGCCTGCATGTAAAAGTCAGAATGACCAATTATTTAAAAAAAAATTAAAAACCTCTTTAAATTGCTCATTCTTATACAAATATTTGTTATTTGTGTTTTCTTTTTCAGTTTTCACTCAAATTTGGAGTTCTTCAATTTAAATATTTAATACAAATTCATGCATTTTATTTTTTTAAATCCTTTGAACCCTTTTGAATTCAGAAGTTGATATTTTCACTGTTGTGTTTTTTAAATTTGTGATTGTTTTTGTTTATAAAAATAATCATTTTGACCACAATATAGTCAAGTAAATGTTATGTAATGTATATTCTGACACCCTTATTGTAAAGTTACTCATTTCTGAAAATGTATCCACATGTATTATTTCTGCACATGATGAAACTTTATTTTTTCAAAATCCAAACAAAATCACTTGGAAACACAAATGGAGCTTCACTTAAACCTGAAAACGAACTGTGAGACATACAAATATTTCACATGGCTTTCACAGATGTACCACAAAGCTTTTCAATAAAAGATTATTAACGTCAGCAGCTGCTGAGTTGTGGTTCTGCGTTGGGGTGGGGGGGTCTTTATACCAGAGGGCTGGCGGCTTTCTGACAGATCCGAGGATACAGGAAGTCACAGGGAACGTCGTACCAGCTTTGGGTGTAGCTGTCCACCACCACACAGTCCTCTCCATCTGGCCCACCAGAGGTGTTGTTGTCTGGTTCTGATTTATGGACGTTCCAGAAGCTTCACAACATAGAAGCAGAGATGAAAACATTTAAATGATACAAACTCAGAAACTCAGGATGTGGCTACATCTGTAGCATAAAAGCAGGTTTTTGTGTTTATTTTGGGAAGAATTCGGGTTATTAGTCTTATTTTCACCAACCAACCTCAAGAGCTGTTTTACAAAATACAATAAACCCCGTCAGGATCCAGGGAGGGTGACTCATTAGCACCACTATGAGGGTGAAAAAGGAAATGACTCAACAGTTCATGAAGATAACCTGATTTTTATCAAATGAACCATCTACTTTAGACCGTTTCCTAATGAATACCCTTTAATATAGCAGCAGTACGGTATGCACATGTTTATATAAATTATTAAGCAGCAAATCCCACAGTGTCTCCATTATCTAAGGCCAGCTGACCAATGAGAGGTTCCCAGTCAACAACGAGCCAATACCAACTGTTCTGGAGAAGCCTATCAAAAGCCTTGAACACTGGTATAGTGCAGAACTCAAAGACTCAAAGCAGGTAGAACAACTCAGACAGGACACAATCAGCAGCCTGAAGAAGATCAACAACACAGCTCTCCCTGGGAAGCTAAAACTATGGTGCTTTGAGTTTGGGCTGCTGCCACGCCTCATGTGACCAATCTCTATCTATGACAGGAGTGGGGGAACCCTGGTCCTCGAGGGCCGGCGGTATCCTGCATGTCTTTGCTCCAACCCTTCTGATTCAGTGGTTGATTCACATGTTCTGCAGCTTTTCAGGCTCTGCAGAAGCTTGTTAATCACCTGCTAATTGAAATCAGGTGGGATGATGCAGGGTTGAAACTAAAATAGGTGTGTCTTCATTGTCAAGCTGACAGTCCCTTGGGAGGAAGCCGTTGACGAAGCATTCGAACGGAAGTGGCTCCAGTATGCAAGTCTGGCAGCGGAAGGGGGTTGGGAGTGGGGGGTTGGGTTGGAACGTGAAGGTGAGTCCAGTGGAAGTGGGATGCAGAGGTTTTGTAGCCAGTTCCATAATAAGGCTTTTGAAGGAAGTAGGAATCAGAGGCCAGGCCCAAATGAGGGCAATCAAAGAGCTCGCCACTGCAGCGGAACAGAGCAGTCACTAGCTGTGGCTGAAACGAAGGGATGCACTTTGGGCTGCCAAATATGGGGCAGCAGTAGCTCAGGTGGTAGAGCGGGTTGCCTCATGATCGGAGGGTCATGGGTTTGATTCCAGCTCCCGCCAGGGGTATCCTGCTGTTGTGTCCTTGGGCAAGACACTTCACCCAACTTGCCTGTGTTAGTGGTGGTCAGAGGGGCCGACGGCGCCAAATGGCAGCCTCGCCTCTGTCAGACCTCCCCAGGGCGGCTGTGGCTACAAGTAGCTTACCATCACTAGCAGTGTGTGAATGTGAGAGTGTGTGAAAGCGTCTTTGGGTGTCTAGAAAAGCGCTATATAAGTTCAATGCATTATTATTATTATTATTAAATGATGACGTGGTGCTTCTGAGTGACACACACCCGGGTCTGATCAACCAGGGGTGGGCCAACCCCGGCAGAGGGTGTATTGTGATAAGTGGCCGAAACACCCAATGAGGTCGGGGCACACGACTAACGATGTGTCGCTCCGGTTTAACCGCGAAATCTATGGCAAAGCTCACTCCACCAAGTTTTCATTCAATTGTTGTGCTGAAAGGGATCTTTAACAACTAGTCCTAGGAAAATTCTATTACGAAGTCCTTTGATTCAACTTTATTCACTTTATATATTTATTTATTATCAATTTATTTACATTTTGCTCGTTTTTTATGGAATTGTGTTTTTATGCCTTGTTTTATTTCTATAATTTAAGTTTAAGACTGACAATATTGTTGCCCAACAGTGGCTTAAAAAATAATATCAGCATTGTTTTTTGTTCTTTTAATGAAAACTTTTACATCAAAGTTTTCAGCTACTTCTCTGCTCACTCACAAAGACAAAACAAGACACATCTGTGGTCTGATTTGTGAGATATTTGTGTTTGTTTGTCACAACTGGCCTAAGTATTAGTCATATTTTACACCTATAGGAGAAATGTAGTTAGTTATTAAAATAATTACGTTTTTATTATGAGGCAGCGCTGCAATAATTTGGTTTATATGGTAAAGCTTGTTGGATATTTATAGAAAATCTGACTTCAAACATCCATAGGGCTGATTTATGTCTGATTTTTATGTTTATTGATTAGAAATGTTTATAAAAGTAACTTTGAATGCTTTTAAATTGACCACAGCTGTCGTTTGATGTGCATTTCTCACTTAATTTTGCTATTTTGTATTCATATGACCTGAAATACATTAAAAATACACTTTAGTTTTTGTTAATTTAGTAGTTTAAGTGTTGAATAAAATGATTCTACAAAAGATCAACCAGTTCAACTTGAACAAAGTACGATGTGGTTTAGAAAAGCCAGTTTTCCCACATAACAACAGACGGCGCCATGAGGTGAAACACAACGAGCCAAACTTCATGTCCAGTTTGACGCTTTATGAGGTTGCAGTCGTTCTGCGATGCACTTTAATGATGCTCTGCTGGCAGTCTGCTCTAACGCTCCATATTTATCACTCACGCCACAGCCAAACCTCGTTTATTAGGTAGAATAAATGCGTGAATGTGTCATGATAAAATAAAATACATACGAAGTTTTAAGCACGGACTTGTCCACCCATCTCCACTCTCCTTCACTCTCAGCATCGCTCAGTCCGATCCAGTAGTTTGTGTAAAATCCTCCAATCCTCCTGCCTTCTTTCTCCACGGCTTCCTACAAATATAAAACAGGTGTGGAACGCTGAAAAAACCTTTTAAAAATCCTATTCTGATTATAATCGGTCATTCTGAGTTTTACATGCAGGCTGAACATGAAAATAGTCTCCTACGCCTATCTCCTGCGTTAGCTTCTGATAGAAAACAGACGATGAAACTCTAGGATTTGAAAATCCTGACAGATCTACGTCACACTGTCACTTAACACTAATGGACTCACCCATCTTGGCTCGTGACGGGGAAGGCTGTTGTTGGTTTAGTGTCCAAGAAACAGCAGAGAACGTCTCAACTAGCAGAAGCTAACCATTAGCGTTAGCAACTCCACCACACAGCAGAACTCCTCCAGGCTTGTGGAGATAAAACATCAACGTTGCAGAGCAAACTCAGTGGTAGAGTTGCGTTGCTGTTAGCCAATCAGAGGCTCATCAGGAGAATATAAGTCTCCAAATCCTGTCGTCTAAATCTACTTCCTCCTCCAGCTGAATTCTCTGTCCTTAAACAGGCACTTCTGGGCTTTTTATCCCCTGAGTATGACTTACAAGGCATTTATTCCTACTAGAGACCGCTGCAGATGTATGTATTAAATGAGTGAGCCACACCTTTAAATTTTACGTAAATTAAAAATTTAACATAGAAGAACCCACATGCTGTTCTCTGGTGGTCAAGATGGCAAGATGGGCACCGACGTCTTTACATTTCCCCGCACTGGAAGAAAAATCCAGCTTTTCCGAGCTTAAGAGGAAACACTGATCCTCGACCTGAAGCCATCCATCAGGACACTCGGTGCAGTTGATTGCTTTTGAGACAAGAAAATAAAAGACATAAATGCTAACCGAGTGGCATAAACTACTAATGAATCCATCTGCTGGTGCCTGCAGGAGGAACATACGTGGAGCGGAGCAGTTCAGAGCCAGGCTGGCGAACTGGTTACACAGGAGCCTGTAGTGGTTCTTCATCAGAGCAAGCCTCACTTTCAGGAAGGCCGCTTCTGCTTCTGGACTCTTGTCGGCCTGACAGGAGAGCTCAGGAACCAGCAGGCCCAGAAGGACGCAGAGGACAGCGCCGAGGTTACCTGGTGATCGAAGGCAGATTCAGAGGAGAGTGAATTCAAACGCACAGCAGAGACGGTTTCCTGCTGTGGGAGAGATCCTTACCTTTCAGAGGACTCATTGTGTCTGCCAGCAGGCTGAAGATGTTCTCTGTGTGCTCCCTGGATGTTTTATAGAGCAGTTTGTGTCCTGGTGTGGAAGGGGAAAGTACAGGTTGCACAAACATCAAAACAGGTACACAGAGATGGCACAATCGTCCTGCATTGATGGGTAAATAAACTCGTATTGGACTATGAAGTCAGATCTGGCTTTATTTACTATATTAGGAGCAAAGTTCCCTCATATTCTTTAAACATTGGTGAACGTAGACACCGAAAAAGTACAATTCTGTTGTTGTTTTTTCCATCAGTCTTGCAAAATTAAATCAATATCGGTGAGAGAACTTGCT